CTGATGGGTAGGAACCCAAACATCATTTGTGACTTGGCGTTACATGTGATTCATCATCACAGTTTGCTCAGCTAACCATGTTTAAATAGCCACTTCATGAAAGGCCGCTGAATCAGCTTTCAATACTGTCTTTATTTCACTCTGGTTTCCCTGCCATGTAGGTTTATATGTCTCCTCAAGGAAACTGGTTTAAAATCTTTCTTAACATCCCTCCTTCAGATTCGAATTGATCTATTGAAGGATAAAGGTAAAAGGTAAAGGGTTAATGCTAGTCGTTTTCAGCTCTACGGGGCAGTGCTCATCTCGGTTAAAAAGCTGAAGAGCCATTGCTGTCCGAAGACGTCTCCGTAGTCATGTGGCCGGCATGACTCAATGCTGAAGGCATACAGAACGCTGTTGCCATCCCACCAAAGGGGTCCCTATTTTTCTACTTGCATTTTTACGTGCTTTTGAACTGCTAGGTTGGCAGAAGCTGGGACAAATAACATGAGTTCACTCCGTTACGTGGTGCCAGGGATTCAAACCACCGAACTGCCAACCTTTCTGATCAACCACTGCATCCCTAATTGAGGGATTATGTGCTCTCAAATAAGTGTTGACGGTTACCAGTAGAAAGACTGATTTTCTTCAGGATGATCTACATGTAGTCTTTGGCTTCCTACAGTTCATTTAGTGACCAAAGTTATAGGTGACTTTGAACAAAGCTAAAAAAAAAAAGTGAGAGAAAAAAAGTAATTTAGATTTGTTTTTCACACATACAATAGTGATCCAAATTCAGATGCTTGGCAACTGGCTCATATTTATGATGGTCGCAGTGTCTTGGGGTCATATGATTCCCCTTTAGTGAATGCCTGGCAAGCAAAGTCAATGGGGAAGCCAGATTCACTTAACAACCGTGTTACTAACTGAACAGTTGCAGTGATTCACTTAGCATCGGTGGCAAAAAAGGTTGTAAAATGGGGCAAAACTCACTTAACAACAGTTAAGTCAGGGTCTCTTGGCTTAGCAACAGAAGTTTTTGGCTCAGTTGTAGCAAATTGAGATCATATTCCCAATCTGCCCTTCAGATCTTCAGTGAGCGAACCCATCGTTGCTGTAATTTAATCCATCCACCTAGCTATAGATATCCTCACTTTTTGCACTTTCCCCAATATTAGGGATTTTTTCCCAAAGGAACTGACCTTCCTATGGTCCAAAATATGATCATTTGAGCCTGGTCATTTGTGGCTCAAGGGAGAATTCTGGATTAATTTATTCTATGATCCATTTGTCTATAAAGATAAAATAATTCAAGTGGCTTGGTGCTTAGTGATTTAAAAGGAGCTATTTCCCCCTTTTAATATATAGGGAAAACATTTAAGGGGAAAAAGATTCTTCTTACAGAGCTTCCTAATATGGGGAATACTAGCTTTTTACAAGGGGTTGAATATTTTTACAGGGGGTTGTTTTTTCTCTCTGAAAATGCCTAGCTTTTCATTCATTGTTTTATTCAGTAAACCAATTCTATGTTTGACCACACAGTGGCTCCCTCCTCATGTAAAACGCATCTTAAAAAGGCCTTTTAATTCTTTTTTCTTGAAATATGACTTTCTCTTCCCAGCTTTTCCATGTGGATACCTGTCCCCTAGATGGCGCTGCCTTCCCTTATTTATTTAGCATATGGAATATCATACATGGACTATAGAGGTAGTCCTCCACTGACAGTTCATTTAGCGATGGTTCAAAGTTATAAAGTCACTGAAAGAAGTGATTTATATACGTTTTTTACTCTTACAGCTGTTACAGCATCTGTTCTGACCCACACCCTTTTTCAACAAATCAAGCACAATCCAAAAGGTACAGAAAACTTGTAATGCTTTTACAAAATGATTAGCTGTGATAAGCACACAACTTGCCAAACTGCAAGACTTGCCAAAAGAAAACAGCCAAGAAATAATTTGCAAAATAAGAATCTTCAACTACAAACTCAGGATACTGGAATGTCCATGAGGCTAGGGTTTCAAAACGTCTTTGCTTTCTGCAAAGAAGGTTAGTTTCACAGCTGGCTTTTATCTTCTTGAAGGAGGGGCCATTACCTTGCAGCCTTACTCCCGAGTCACCAGTGTTGTTGTAACTGTTCTTTCCTCCGAGCAATCCTGCGCTCACACGCACTTAGCACAGGCTCCTCGGGAACCTCCTCATCACTGTGCCAGCCCTCACAATCTCTGAAGACAGCAGTCCACTCCCTAATGGTCCTGGCCCCTCATCTGAGTCCTTGCTCTCCTCAGCCGTCCGTACCTGCTGCCAGCTAACCACAACAGCATCCCCATGGTCACATGATCAAACTTTGGATGCTGGGCAACTGGTTCATATTTATGATGGTTACAGTGTCATGGAATCACCTTTAGTGACCTTCTGACAAACAATAGGGAGCCAGATTCACTTAACAACCATGTCTCTAACTTAACAACTGCAGTGATTCACTTAACTAGCATGGCAAGAAAGGTTATAAAATGTGGCAGGATTCACTTAACAATTGTCTCCCTTAGCAATAGAAATTTTGGGCTCAATTGTGGTCCTAAGTTGAGGACTAATTGTACATTAACATTTCCCTTAGATCAGTAGAACGTAATAAGATATAATTTTTTAAAAGATATATGTTCAAATACCAGTGGCTTATGCCATACCACTCAAATGGTTGTCCAGTCTAGTTTTGAAAACCTCCAGCGATGGAGCACATACAACCCCAGGAGGCAAGCCAATTAAACATCAATTAATTATTCTGTCAGAAAATTTATCCTTGGTTCTAGGTTGAATCTCTCTTTAATAAACTTCTACTGTTGGAAGAAAAACCCCAGGTCCAGTTCCAAGACAAGAGAAAAGCACTGGAAACAAAATGGAGGCTGATTGGAAAGAAAGTTTATTGATGAAGCAGAACCACACCCTGCTGGTGGTTCTGCTTCATCAATAAACTTCTGTTCATCAATAAACTTCCTTTCCAATCAGCCTCCATTTTGTTTCCAGCGCCTTTCTCCCGACTTGGAACTGGGCTTGGTTTTTCCTTCCAATTCTACCCATTCTTGTTCTGCCCTTTGGTACTGTTGAAAGAAATGTCCATCTGGATTCAGTTCCAAGTGGGGAGAAAGACACTGGAAATATGGAAGCTGCTTGGAAGGGTGGTTTAATGGTGGACAGGACCACACGGGTTTGAAGTCCTGGGTAGCTAACCACATGGAATGGAGAGTGAGTGTTACTTATACCCTCTCTTGGGCTTTGAACTTGAGCTTCCTGTTCCTGTGGCAAGGGCATGTATCCTATTGGTTGTCAGACTCGTGATGGGGGTCGGTTCTGTTGAAAGGTGTCAAAATGCCTTTCTTTGGGGATTCGATTTTCCCGCTGGGAGAGCTCCGGCGCAAGGATACAGACAACTGCTTGAAAGTTGGATCTTTTTATTTTTCAGGAAGGCGGAGAACAGCGAGAAGTCTACATTCTTGGGCTAGCTAGCTTCTTATGGTAAGTCCCTGGTTTTTTATACCCTTTTCTCCCTTTGTAAGTTGATTTTGTGTGAGTGTTTGTATTTGTGCCTGTTTCAAATCCTGTTTGAGTTTGTCTTTATTTTTGTCAGAGGGCAAACTCCGCGGGGTGCGGAAGGCAAACTCCACGGGATGGCCAGATTGTATTATTGGTTTTCTGTAATCTCTTTTAGCTTTAAGATAGTTTTTCATATTTGTTCTGTGGCAATCTCCTGTCTGTCCCTTTTTGTAATTTATTTTTGTGTCTTTTGTCTGTTTGTTTTGCTTATTTGGTATGTCCTGTGTTTCTAAGGATTTTCTAAATTATTTTTTGTTTCCTTTTCCTATTTGTCTAGTTTTCTTAATTACTTAGGCTTTTGTCTATAGGGATTCTTTAATACTTTTTATTTGATTCCTTTTCCAATGTAAGTTGTTTTCTGGCACACCTGATGTTCCCCTTAGGCTTTTCCTGTTTTTTTTTGTGACACTACTGCCTTCGTGAAATTCCCTTTCCACAGTTTCTAGCTAACTTTGTAGGCTGTCTGTGTCCCAGAACTGATTGTATCTTGCTGGGTGATGCAATGAAGGGTAGTTCCTATTGTGGCTGAATGGTTTTGCCCTGAAGGATAATCCCATCATCCTGGAACTTTTTTTAATATATATAGGCTGGTCCAGTCTTTTGTCTTGTAGATAAACTGGCATCAAAATATCTGCTGGGGTCAAGGAGCTGGGAGAACTGCTCTTTTTCTTTAAAAAAATGTTTCTCCTTTTCTCATCCAGGGAAATATAATAAAATTACTTGAAAATATCCTAGCTTCCAAAGAGGATTATTCAAATCTCTGCCCCCTTTTCTGCAGAAGGATCTCATGTTAGATAGTGAAAGCGCACAGAAATCCAAAAGCTTAAAGAGAATACAGTATTTTAACATTTTTTTACTTCCGGTTCCCCATTGCGCCTAGGAAGAAAACCGATCGTCACGCTGGGAGATAGCTATTTGTATCTCTTTAAAACATGGAATTTCCTATATACTGTACTCCCCTACCTACGCTGTTATCTTCTAACAAGCTTCAATCCTGAGCGACGCGTTAGCTGTCCTTTCTCTACACACGCTATTGCCCCGCATATGGCAGCATTCCAAACGATACCGGAAGTGAAGGCCTCTCTCTTCCTCACGCTCCCTAAGGATGAGGAGGAAAAACGGAGTGCTGCTCTACCTCGACGCGTGATTGTTTATCCCCCACCCCCGCACTTTTAAACCGGAGTCTGCGCGCTGGCGGCTGAGCTCCTCCGCCCCCCGGGGAGAAGAATGGGCGGAGTTGGCTTCGCACGGAAGGATGATTGGCCCGAGCCGTAGGGGGTGGGGGAAGGGAAAGGGGGGAGTGGTCAGGCGAAGGGGGCGTGCCTCACGCGAGCGGCAGGGGCGGGCAGGAGAGAAAAGAGGTGAGGTCGCGCGCCGGCTTGTCAGTCGGCGCTGAGCAGCGGCTGGGGGTGGAGGCTGCGGTAGGAGCAGCGGCAGCATCAGCAGCGAAACCGGCGACAGCGCCGGCGGTGGAGGTGCTGCCGCGGTCGCCGCCGCCCCCTCGCGGCTTCCTTTCCCCCGGGCCCGAGCGGCGGCCGCCGCCGCCACCATCATCGCCACGCTGAGCTCCTCTCGGGGGCTCCTCCGCCGCAGCGCAGGTGAGGCTTCGCAGAAGGCTTCGCAGGCTCGGCCCGCTGCTCTTCGACGCCTGGCCCGGGCGCCCCTGCTTGGCCTTGAGTACCAGGCCTTTTTGAGACTCGGCTTCCTTTGTGAACGGGAGCTCCATTTCTCTGCAGGGTGGATGAGTGAGTTACCTTGTGCAGGTAGATCGATGCTGGCGAAGGAGGATGGGGGGCGGCGGGGGGGGAAGCACCTGTAGCAGCCTGATGGGGGACGATGGGAATTTGAAGGGCTGGGCCCAAAAGGAAGGATGCTCTTAAGGCTGCTCAGGGTGAAGACTACCAATGAGTGGGTGATATTGGGGTGTCTCTGCTAAGGTCTGGATAAAGAGCAATGTTATTTCTCTCTCTCTCTCTCTCTCCCCCTAGGAGATGCTTAAGGGAGAACTTGAGTTCCCCTTCTCTGGTCCTCCAAGGGGCAAAAGAGCATTTAGGGGTCCATGTGGCTTGGCTGCCCAAAGCAGGGTGAATGGGGTGATGGCATGGGGTGCTAAGTGGATGGAGGTGTGATTGCCCGTCCAAGATGGCAAGTCTGGGCAGTATCCCAGTTAAGACTTGAATCCTTCTGTAGGAAGAAGAGAAGATGGGGAAGGAAAGGATGAGGGCCACAGAATGGGGAGAGGTTGATCAAGGATTGGAGGGAGGTGAAGGGTTTTTGGGTTTTTTTTGCATCCAAGTCGGGAATGAAACCAATGGAATGTCTTTAGAAGAAAAAAAAGTGGATTAAAATTGGGATGAGAGAGGCTGCTGGAGAAGGCAATTGAAGTTATAGTGGGTGGTTCAAAACAAATATTTTGAATAAAAGGAAACCAGATATAAAGAATAAATCTGGGAACTTTTGGGTAGGCTGGAACGGCAGTTCCCAGAATTCCCTAAGCTTGGCTGGCTAAGAATTCTGGGTTAGTGGCGAAATCATGATGGGAGAGCAAGGTTTAAATGAGAATGTGTAGGTGGGTTTTGCCAACTTGGCCCTTATTTCAGAACATTGAGATTGCAGAAAAGCTTTTCTGTTTTCTTCTGTAAGGTTTACAGTGGTCTTTCTCTGTAAAATGTCTTAGCCACTTTTAAGATGTGTGGACTTCAATTCCCAGAATTCCCTTGTTTCCAAATAGGTTGCAACAACTTTCCAAAGATGGTTTCATTTTGTAGCTTTAATCTTATGCCTTGATAAAACTGCAGAGATTGAAGGATCTTGTTGGGTAAATCTGAAGACAACTATTTATATTTAGGTCAAGATGTCCCTCAGGAAGATCTGAAGGAGGTTAAGCAATGGCTTCCCATTTTATTCCTTTCCTTTTCTGATGCAGGAATTGGAATTCCAGTTTTAAATTGCATTCTGTCTAAATGTCTTGCATGTATAGATGCATGTTTATCAAATATCTGTAGCTGCTGATCTCACGGATGTGACTGGATGGCGTACAGTAAAAGAACTAAAAGCCTTAAAACCATTAAAAAATGATTGAAAACATAAATATAAATAAAACCATTGGAGTTCTTGGGTCCTTTAGGATGAAGTCCAGTGTACGTGGAGGTGACTACAATTGCACTTGAGTGTCACGGAACCAATAAAACAGCTGGAAAGATGGTGCTCAGGAAATCAAATGTTCTCAAAGATTCTTTCAGGTTAGCGTTACTCATGCAATAAATCCATGCAAAAATTATCCCACAGGCTTCCCTTGTTCACGTAGCATCAACATTAAGTCTTCTTCTTTACTTCCTCTTTTATCACTTCAATTGTTGAGGGAGTCAAGTCTTTAACTATGTTTAATACCAGTCATTATCTAATAAATATGACTCTTCAGCTAACTAACATGATCAAAGGCCTGGAGATTAAAACATGAAGAATGGCTGCAGGATTTGGGTTTGGCCAGTCTAAAGAAAACAATTAGGGATGACATGATAGCAGTATTCCAGTATTTGAGAGGCTACTACAATGAAGAGGGGGTCAAATTTTTCTACAAAGCACCAGAAGGCAGGACAAGAAACAATGGTTGGAAACTAATCAAAGAAGCAACCTGGAATTAAGGAGAAACTCACAACAAAGGCAAACTGTTCCACTGATTAATTGTCCACACTGTTAGGAAGTTTCTTCAACCATTCTTCACTGGAGGTTTTTAAGAAGTTTAGACAACCACTTATCTGAAATAGTATAGGTTCTCCTGCTTGAGCAAGGGGCTGGACTAGAACAGTGGTCCCCAACCTTTTTTGTACCAGGGACCAGTTTCACGCAGAAGCACTTTTTCAAGGACCGGGTAGGGGCGTGAAGGTTCCAATAACAGTAAATAAATAAGCGATGAACCCGTAACTTACCTTTCCAAAAAAAACACTCCAGTGAACCGGTACTGGTCCAGGGCCCGGTGGTTGGGGACCCCTGGACTAGAAGACCTCCAAAGTTCCTTCCTAGCTGTTTCTATTCTATATCCAGCATTGCATTCTTAAGGTTTCCACATTAGCTGCTGTATAACATGAATTTTGCTTAGAAGTCCTTTCAAAACAAAGATTAGGAGCACACCTCTGTTAGCCAAGTTAAGCTCCTGGGGCAGTGGAGTTTCTTTTTAATTTTGCACTGGGAATGATAGTGAACAAAAACAGGCCCACCAAGAGGGAAGAAGAAAGAAAAGAAAAATGTTGATGTTGAAGCTGTCTGACTTTACATTTAGTTACCCACTTGTTGGAATGTGGGAGAAATCTGTAGACATTCAGATTAAGCTTTATTAGGTGTTGAAATTGGTTTCAGGTTGCCTAGCAGTTGCTCCCAGGAGTTTCTAAGGAACGATGGTTTAATCCTCAATTCCTGCAAGTAAATAGTTTGGCTACGTTTTTCTTGCTGCTGTTACATGTAGAGTTGCTTCCTTTATTGCTGATACAGTGGTCCTTGAGCTACAACCACAATCGAACCCAAAATTTCCATTGCTAGGCAAGAGAATTGATTTTGCCCCATTTTATAACCTTTTTATCCGCAGTTGTTAACTGAATCACTGCAGTCAAGTTAGTAAAAAGGTGGATCAGTGAATCTGGCTTCTCCCTTGACTTTGCTGGTGAGGTCTCAAAAGGGGATCGATCACATTACCCCAAGACACAGCAACTGTCACAAATATATTGCCAAGCATCTGATCACGTGACCATGGGGGATGCTGCAGTGGTTGTAAGTGTGAAAAACAGTCATAAACCACTTTTTCAGTGACGTAACTTCAAATGGTTACTAAACAAATGGTGATTAAGTAAGGGACTACCACTAAGTCATACTTGTCCTTCAAAGGGATCTGCAGAAATCTGCCTGCTGTTGTCATATTACCTTCCCAGCAGTCTTATGAAGTAGACCCAAAGAGAAAGATTTTATGGCTGAGGAAGGGTTTGAACCAGAGGTGGTATTCAGCCAGTTCTGACTGGTTTTGGAGAACCAGTAGCAGAATATAGTTCGGAGAAACAGCAAATAACTCCTCTGACTGGTCCTGCTCTTATTTATTCTCTGCCTCCTGAATCCCAGCTGATTGGTTGGGCCTTCTTTGGTTGCCCTGCACAGGAGAACGGAGCTGAAAAGCAGGTTAGTGGGGTGGGGAGGGAATGGAGATTTTGCAGTACCCTTCCCCTGCCACTCATACCAAGCCATGCCCACCGAACTGGTAGTAAAAAAAAAATTGAACCCTACCACTGGTTTGACCCCAGGCTAACCACACTAACCATTCCATTAAGTTCTTGGAGGAGGAGAAAAGGGTCTCCCATGTTTATCTAGAATCCTGCCTGCCTGCCGGATTTGAAATTCTTACTATTCAAAGTGTGAGTTGGAAGCTGAAGGAGAATTTCAAGCTCTCTTGAAGATGAAGGTTTATAGATTCACCATTAGTTAGTTATGGAGAAACAGAAATGGAGCTGATTGCTCCAAAATAGAGACCAGCAAAGTTCTTGCTTACAGATAAGTACAGGTAGTCAGTCCTTAACTTACGACCACAATTGATGACCCCAAAATTATGTTGCTAAGTGAGACAGCTGGGTTGTGTTTTTTTGAACTATGTTTTATTGAAACATTTTTAATATAAAAAAGCTCACTATCTGTCTGAACAGCATGTTGTCTTACAATTAGTTTTGAATAACAAAACAAGCATAATCACAATATACATATCATTAATAATAATCACATAGTAATAATACAATTAGCTTATCCATATCTAAAAACTTTCATTATATAATCAATAGTTATTTTAATCTTTTTAGTTTCTAAACTCTGTTTTTGTTAGTTACTGGTAAAATAAGTTCCATGTTAAAAAATATTCTGTTTTTATCTTCTCCTTTATTTTTAGTGTTAATCTGTCCATCTCTGCGCATTCTAATATTCTTTTTAATAGCATTTTCATCTGAAGGGATCTCTTCATTTTTCCACTGTTGTTGTGCAAACAAAATTCTTGCTGCCGAGTGAGACAGCTGTTAAGTGAACTCTGCCCTTTTTTACAACCCTTCCTGCCACTGTTGTTAAGTGAGTCACTGCAGTTAAGTTAATAACAGTAGTTCAGGGAATCGGGTTTCCCCCTTGACTTTACCTGTCAGAAAGTCGCAAAAGGGGATCGCGTGACCCCAAGGCACTGCAACCGTCATCAGTATGAACCAGTAGCCATGTTGTCTGAATTTTTGTCACATGACCACAGGGACAATGAAATGGTCATAACTGTGAAAAATGGTCAAAAGTCACTTTTTTCCAGTTCCGTTGTAACTTTGAACAGTCCCTAAACTGCCGGTAAGTTGAGGGCTACCTGTACCGAAAGTCTCGAAAATGGCCCCCAAATGTCCCATCCTGTTTTCTGCTGGTTAGGAATTACACTGTGAGCTTTTCGTTCAGCTGCGTTCTTCTCCATCTCCTGATTTCCTCCCTGCTCCTTTTGCGCCCGGGGGACAAACAGCAGAGGTGAGGGAGATGCTCAGACTGAAAACTTGCCAGCTTGGTCTAGTGGGTGACTGGAGGCGGAGGACTTCTCCCTCGAGGTGGTATGGCGATGGAAAAACAAGCAAAAGAACGTCCCTCAGCCAGGAGAAGGGAAAGGAGAATTCTGCACACAGGAGACAATCACAAACATGATCTTTGTTTCAGTTGAATGGATGAGAGTCCGTGGTCATTTTAAGTAGGTTTCTCTAGCCTTGCTGTGTGTTTCCAGAAGTTTGGAGATAGGAGGTCAAGAAAACTGTAACCATCTGCATCTCAAGGAGCTATGATTGAAGCACCCCACAAGTGTGTCATTTGTACTATAGAATTAGCAAGGTGTTGTCGGCGAGACAGCATGCAACCTTGATACCTGTCCTTGAATTTTCCCTTTAGGTCATGGCAGCTTGATGAAGTCTTCTGTGTCCTGCTTTCCCGAAATGGAACAGTCCTCCATCTTTGGAAAGGCAACCTGGACTGGGAATTTGTTCTCTTAGACCAGGGGTTTCAAACTCGATTTAATTGAGGGCCGCATGAGGGTTGTATTTGACCTTGGGGGAGGCCGGAGTGGGTGTGACCAGGGGGCATGACCAGCTTGATGTCATTCGTGTCAGGGTGCCTGTGGCGGCCCGAGCACTCTACCAGTGAAAACAGGCTCCTGATCTCCATTTCTGGCTGCGATAGCCTCCTGCAACTCTCTGCCAGTAAAACAGCTTGGGAGTGCCGCCCATGGCCCTCGTGAGCTCTGTTTTGGGGCTGCAGTGACCTCCTGCAACCTTCTGCCAGTGAAAACAGACTTCAAGAGGGCCACAAGTAGCTACGTTTTTGCTGACAGAGACACTGCAGGCCGGTCCTTCCTGTTTCCAAGACCAGGTCTAAGCACCCTGCAGGCTGGATCCAGCTGCCGGGCCTTGAGGTTGATACCCCTGTCTTAGACCTTGGTTGTGGCCAACTATTCTGGGAATTCTGGGAGTTGAAGTTCACGGGTCTTAAAGTGGCCAAGGTTGGACATCTCTGAACTAAGCATTGGCTGTGCCTAGGGCTTGATCGGCTTCAAGTGATCATCTCTCCCAAAACAATAATAAAGTTTCTGGTTACTTCCTTTTTCTATTTCTGTATCTTGCAACCATTATGTTGGGTATTCACAAAGATAGCAAGTTAAGAGTTTTGAAGAGGAGAAGCTTCCCTTGTAGAGTAAGAACCAGCAATGGGTTTAGGAGGAAATTTCAGGGAGATCCCTGATTGAGCTGGTAGAGCTGGTTCAAGGAGGACATAACTGGGAAGATCTGTCTGGTTGATCAGAGTAACCCCATCTTTCCTGATCTGAATTCCTGTAGAGAATCCGCTTAGGCTCCATCCATTCAAACTGAGAATGTTGAAATTTCATTCCTGTCCAGTTCTAGGATGCGATGAAGTAGAAATCTGGTATAGGTCATAATCACTTAGATCAGGGGTGTCAAACTCAATCTTATTGAAGGCTGCATCAGGGTTGTGTTTGACCTTGGCGGGGGTGGTGGTGGTTCTGGGAAGGTGTGGCAAGCTTGACATCGCTCATGTCGGGCACCTGTGGTGGCCCTGCGGGGATTGGGGAGGATCCACTTTTGCTAGTAGTTGGTTTTGCCAGCACTCTGCCAGCGAAAACAGCTCGGGGGGTGGGGCATATGAGCTTCCCTCCCCTCCCCCGGACTCCATGTTTGGCTGTGACTGCTTCCTG